TAGAAAAGGTGGGTCACTTTTGTCCCTCCTTTCCGTAGCTGAAATCCCCTCCTGGAGCCCTCCAGTAAAGTACTGAGAGGGTTCAGAGAGAGGCAGAACCAGATTGGACTCAAACAATCGCCCTGGAAGATACCCCTTCTTATCCTTATGTGGTTCTCTGCAGCCATCATCCGCTCGCCCAGATGACAAAGGATCGTACTCCACTGCCCCATACACTGCTCGAGGAATTCTAACTGTACAGTCAATCTTGTACAGCTCGAGGACCCTCTTTAGCCATGTATGGGGCACAGAGTCGAACGCCTTTCTATAGTCTATCCAGGCGGCAGAGAAGTTCCGACGGTTGCGTTTCACCACTTTACCTATGACCGCGTCAATGAGGAGTGGTTCCTTGGTTCCACGACCACCGCCCCGACATCCATTTTGAGCGCATGACATCACCTGGTTTAGCTCCAGGTGACGAGTGATTCTCGCGCTCAAAATGGATGTCAGTGTCTTATATATGGTGGGTAGACACGTGATGGGGCGGTATTTGCTTGGGTCTGTGGTATCCTGATCTTTAGGAACCAAGTGAGTGATCCCAGTAGTGAAGAGGCTCGGGAGTGACTGCTGGTCGAGAGCCTCTTGAAACTGTCGGGCGAGCACAGTGTGACACACTATGAACCTCTTCAGCCAGAAATGATGCAGCCCGTCGAGCCCCGGACTCTTCCAGTTCGGGGCCCTACAGACCGCCTCAGCCACATCTTCCGGCGTTATGGTGATGGGGTCCATAGGCGTAACACTCGCACCCTGGCTCGCCACAACTTCCATCCAAGGGCCCTCGCTGTGGTTAACGGGCTCTGACCACAGGCCACGCCAGAATGTGATAATGTCAACCTGATCCGGTCCTTGGCCCGCTCCACATACCTTTGGTCGCTCCAATGATTTATAGAGCCTCTTCTGATCACTCTGGAAGAGACGACTCTGGTTGAACCGCCTTGACCTTTCGGTAAATCGTCGAATCCGCTTCCTCCAAGCAGCGATCTTTTGCTTCAGGTCGTCTATGCGCTACGTTAGTTTTTGCGTGATATCCGGCTGATATTTGTCCCAGCAAACGCCATCCTAACGGTGCGCACAATCCTCGGTCTATTATTACCCGACCTGAAGCTTGTCAGTCTGCCTATAAGGGCCCTTGCCTTTGCGATACGGTCCTCGATTCTTTTTCTCCAGGCTGGGATGGCGCTACTTTGTGTAGTAGCGTGTCCAGCCATGGGAAGTTTGGTGCCAATAATACGGCAAAATGCCACTGTGGCGCCAAAGAAAATTGGCCGCGCTTCATAGGTCACCAGCATTGGTTAAGAGCCCTCACACAGCCCGATTTCGTTTGCTTAGGGGTATGCGGGGAAGTTGCGGTCGATTTTCGAGAGGGGTGCTGCGCGTTTCCAAAATCGCCTCTTCCAATATACTCCTCATTTGCTCAAGTTCGTGGGAGACTATTTCATCGTCGTTCGAATCAACCACAACTGGAAGATCCATGTTAGCCCGGTTAACTTCAGTTTTTGAATATTAATTTTTAAACCACCTTAACTCTATAAACTCTAAAATAAAATTCAAAATGGAGTTAGAGGCAAATAATTCTTTAGCTTTCCTAGATGTTTTAGTCATTCGAAATCCTGATAACACTATTGGTCGCACTGTGTATAGAAAAAAGACCCATACCAACCGATATTTAAATGGTGAATCTCACCATCATCCTTCACAGTTAGCTACCGTGGGTAAATCTTTGTTTCAGAGAGCACGAGGGATCTGTGACAGAAAACATCTGGCCGCCGAGCTGCAGCATGTCAAGCAAGTGTTGCAAGACAACAAGCTTCGGATCCCGCGCCTACGTCACAGTGACCGAGTGAAGTCGGCCACAGTCGAGCGTGTGCCTGCTGTACTTCCATATGTCAGAGGAGTCACAGACAAGGTTGGCTACATCTTGAAACGAGCTTCCATTAAAACATACTGCAAGCCGCCGAAGAAGATTAGTCAATTTTTACCATCCGTCAAGTGTAATATCCCTCTACAAGATGCACATACAGATTGTACACTCCGTAAAAGTTAGATTGCGAATGTGGTCTCTCTTACATAGGACAAACAAAAAGATCCATAAGGACCCGCGTAAAGGAACATATAGCTGACGTGAAGCACCGACGCTCCGGGAAGTCTGCAGTCTGTGAACATATTCTAGACGGACCCAACCATTACATCAGATTTGATAAACCACAAATCCTCGCAAAAGAACACCGATTCCTACCAAGGGTGATACACGAGGCTATTGAAATTAAAAAACATCCTAATTTCAATAGAGAAGATGGTTGGGTGCTGCCATCTCCTTGGGATCCTATAATTAACAAAATTAAACCCAAACCCAAGCATACCACCGCAAGAATTCAAGATACTGTTAGTTCGTTTTGCGTAAATCGGACCAAAAATTAATATTCAAAAACTGAAGTTAGCCGGGCTAACAATGACATTGGGACGTCAAACATCTCAGTCCCCCCCGTGACCATGGTTGCTGTAAAGCACCCGAAACGTCGGGAATTAAAAATAAGTAAAATCAGTTAAATAAACGCGATAGAATCCGTAAATTTTGTTTTATTCAATGGTTTTCTGACTTTATATGTTATCATAAACGCTCTAGAAAATCGGAATATTTATAAATCCCGCCATCTCCTTCAAAGCTAACCTGTCCGAGTCGCGATGCCCAAGTCCCAAGTTCGCATCACTCGATCTTATACTCAATAAAAACGAAAATAAAAAATTAATAAACAAACATTTTTTATTTTTTTTTCCGAGTCGGGATGCCCTCAGTCCCGAGCTCGCAACGCTCGATCTTACACTCAATAAAAACCAAAATAAAAAATTGATGTTTCTTTTTTAATGTTTGTTTTTTGGTGTATATTATGAAAAAAAAATTCATTTGATTATTTAAAAAAAAGTTATCAACAATTATACGTGAATGAGTGCATTTTCATGAACATTTAAAGTCTTGAAACCTATTATTTTAAATTTTTGTAATTATTTTCGTAAATGCGCCGTAATAATGAATATTTTTAAAAAGTTATCGAAATCGGATGATTTTTCGATTTTCTAAAGCCAAAAATGAGGTGACCGCGACAGTGTAAAATTACCTAGGATTTTTATATATTTTATCAAAATTTTTATATAATTTCATATAATGTGTAAATCGCGTCTAGTTTTATCTTTTATTTTTGAGAACTGGTGATAATAGCGCCATCTCTTTTTTAATAATGTATTTTTTTTTCGTTTTATTACAAATAACCTATTTTCACTACGGTGGTAGAAATTTTTTATAAATCGTCCAGTTCCGAATATAAAAAATTGACTGAATTGAACTTCAATTTCGAATGATACTTTTATATTGCATTGATATTCTGATTTTAATTATATATGCAAACAAGGTCTTTGATTTGTATTACTTTTCGAACGTTACTTTTTAAACAAAATTGTTACTTGTTAAATTGTACTTTATCAATTTAAATTGTTATTTGCTAAAGAAAATTAAAAAAAAGACAAAGACTAAATTTTTTAACATATTATTTTTTTAAATATCGCGTTTGGAATTTCGTTTATATCGGACATACTTAAATCTGTTAAAGTATCGATAATTTCATAGTTAACATTAACATTGCAACATTCAATTAACGTTAGTTAGTTGTATATTTAGTTTCATTAGAGTTTTATTCTGCTGTGTTTCGTATGGTGAGTGTAGAAAACCGGAGACCCGTTTTACTGGGATTCCATCTTAGTCCTCAGTGGTGACAACGCATCTGCATTTTGATTCTTAATCGAATGTAGATGTCTATGGGCCACAGCATCCACTTACCATGAGGTGGACAGTGTGCTCGTTTACAATAGGGGTAACCCTTATCCTATAAAAAAAGAGCTAGTACACGCTGGCAACATGCTGAGAGGTACCAACTTATTTCAACTAGCTTAGTTATCTGGCTGCCCTCGAGGTGTGCTGACTCTTAAAGGTGTAGTGGCTGTTTAAGAATATCCGTCCCATGGGTGTCGTAAGAGGCGACAGAGGTAAACTGATACAGGAAATGAGTAGCAGATTTTCCTATTGTCAACTAAAAATTATAAAAACTGCGATTGCCGACCCGTCTGGCAAGCGTGACAACTATTGTAAAATTCCCCCTAAGCAATCTATCGGCAACTGTTTAGCAGTAGACTTTTATAGGCTGTAATGAAGATTTCTTTGGTTAAGCTGCTTCATTACTTGGCTCAACGTGACTTGCAAGAACGGATGTTAAGTTTGGAGGGGAGTCAGACACGGTCGCGTTACTCTAAAATTTGGAGAAGGCAGAGTTTGTTGCATTACTTTATGACACAAAAATGTCAAAAGAATTATCTATTATTCTTCTCCATCATTATTAGGCCGTAAAAGACTACTGTAAGACATGGACCTCTACAACTGTAGGAATGATTTGCTATAATTGCCACGGTTTGCAGACTCACACAGTCTCGCAACTTTGACGTTGCTGTCCGTAGCCAGTCTGTGTATTTTGTCAGGCTCTGATGTAACCGATTTGTTCATAGCGCCATATATCGATTACATTTCTCTGGCATTTTCCACAGGCCTCCTACTACACCTTCGAAACGTACCGGTAGTGATGGATTCATTGACGCCGCTACTACACGGCAAACGAATTGGTGTTCTGTCCTCATGTTTTCATAAATATATTCCATTTTTTTACAAATTAGAACTATTTTAACCTCATTTTTAGTTTTTTTAATGTTATCTTAGTGCATATCTATGTTACTTAGTTTTATTTAAATTTAACATTGAACGGAAACGACATTCACGGTATTGAAATCATCCATGGCTTGATCGATTTCATGATGAAGTTACTCCGCAGAAGTGTAAAGTAATTTTTTTTATCGAGTGCACTTTTGTTAGGTTATAATGAATAAATGAATAAATATATTCACACTCGTTTGTCTACTTTCAGATAATGCAAATTGCCTACCACACCATCGCCTTCCTGAACGATATATTCGGATCAAACGACCCATCGCCAAAGAAGAAACCTCTGATACGGTTGATAAAAGACACGCTCTTCAGTCTCGCATTTCCGGTTGCAATATACGTATCCGTAGCATTCTGGAGCCTTTATGCAGTAGACAAGGACCTAATATTCCCAGATTTTATAGAGAAATTGTATCCGACCTGGATGAACCATGTCATGCACACGACGGTTTCGATTTTTATGTTCTTGGAGCTTATAATGACATCCAGAAATTATCCATCAAGAGCTGTTGGTCTTTCAATGACATTAGCTTTCACAAAGTTGTATATTGCGTGGTACCTGATGATTTATTTTAAAACTGGAGTATGGATTTATCCCATCTTCGATACATTAAACTGGCCTTCGAGGATTGTTTTCATTGTTATTAGTAATATTGTGATTTCAGGTGTCTATGTTTTTAGTGAAAAATTAAATTATTTGTTATCGTCTAGTCAACAAGACGCCAAGCTTAAGAAACGCTGACTTGTAACAGAAAGTTTAGCAATATTTTATAGTTACCTGAACTATAAAATATTAAGTTAAGATTTACAATATTCGGAAGATTTTATAATTTATTCGGTTGTTTGAGACAGGGAACCTTTATTATGAATCAAAAAACAAAACTGTTTAAAATAAACAGCCTGTTTTTTTCCTTATTTAAAAATACAGACTTTTATTTACAATGCAGTGCCACTATTTATTTATCTGTACGTAAAACAGTAAAAGGTCATAACCGTAATTTTTTCTTTTTTCCTGAAATAAAATAAGGAGGAAACCCAGCTTGACTTTTTTATTTAAAGTTAACAATATAATAATGTCCTCCAGACTCACTCACTCAGTGCACTCTCTGTTCCCTCACTCTCATGGTCCGATGGGACAGTAAACCGACACAACCGGACAGAGATCAGAGGCACTTTCCGAGGCACGGGGGTGAGACACCGCCAACTTCCTGACTCCGGGGAGCTACTGAGAACTTCATGATGGAAAAACTCAATAATTGATTTTTTTTTGGCCCGTCCCTAGAACACTAGACCAACGAGGCAGTCGAAGTTAACAATATAGTAACATAATAAAATAATTATGTTATATACAAATATAACGTTATCATCAGTCATGCAGCCCTTATTATATTTAACGTTCTTATGAAGTATTTTCTTTTAACCTTGGTAATAAAAAGACGTTGTATAATTACCTATGAATAACTAATGATGTAGAATAGAGTTGTCCAGCCTGTGATTCTTAGCAGTATTTACATATGTAATGTGCCGATATCAATTTTTATAAAAAATACAGTTTTTGTGTTTATTAAATTTTCGTAAACTAGGAACTAGATTTTTACAACATAAATATACTGCAGATTTAATATAAAAGTTAAATGTTTTTAATTTAATTTTATTTATTTTGAAGGTTTACTTAAAATTCTTTCCGAATTCCGAATTCACTCCTGACATTTAACTGTATAAATATATAATTTATTAATAACTCGCCTATAGCGCCACCTATTGAGTTCAGATTTTAAGATTTTCTTTTTTAAGTCAACTTTATTGTGAATATGATTCATTTGGGTCCACTAGTAAAGAATTCGGTAACAATTTGATTAAAGTACCACCTGTTGGATCCTAGCGTAGCTATAATAATAGACAATAATAATAATTATCTTTATTGCAGACACAAAGATTCACATATTATAAGACAAATTAAAATTCAATAAATAATATATAATAATAATAATAAAAAGTTTAAAATATTCGAACGTTTTCTAGACTCATGTCAACTGAACTCTGACTATGAATCATCTCTATACAAAAGCATATTGTGTGAATATGACCTCAATCGGTTGTCATTCAGAAGTTAAAAGATCACTGACAGACCAACGATTATATATGTTTACCAATTGTTTGGCGCCACAGAGAATATCATGGAGAAGCTTACGAGCACAATAAATAACAATATATTTCAACTGTGCAAAGTCCTGGCCTGGAGCTACGACGCGAATTCTCTAAGTCTTTTGATTCTTGTTGATTTGTAGCTATAGTATAGTTTTCCATAGCATTACATCAAAAGGAAAATTCTGTGAAAATCCCTTCCTTTATCAATATAGCGCACTCAATCTTCTTCTTTAAAAACTTGTAAAGAATTAGGTACTATCTTTTGCTTCGGAATGTTTTAGTATTATTATAATGTCTATTGTTTATTTCATTTATTATTTATCTCGTTTTGTATATATTATTTATACTTATATTTACGATTTATGTCACTAATTTTTTTTTTCAAATTAGTAGTTTTTTGTAGTATCAGTGCATCACCGACTCATTCATAATCATCCAAAGGTTGTCTGAAAGAAATCACTTTTGATAATCTTTTATTAAATTTACCATTAATCATTTCTTTACGGATCTTATCGCGTTTAATTAACCACTTTCGCTTATTTTTCATTTCCTGGTGCCTTACAGCTCCCTTGGTCACGGGGGGGGGGGGACTGAGATGTTTGACGTCCCAATGTCATAGTTAGCCCGGATATCTTCAGTTTTTTAATATTAATTTTCCTTCCGATTTACGCAAAAATTTATAAAAATTAGTATACAATATAATTGACTTAAAAAGAAACAGTGGGAATAAAAAATAAGTTAAAGTAGTTAATTAAACGCGATATAATCCGTAAATATAGTTTTATTCAACGAAATCACTTTTAGCGATATGACCGCCTAATAAACAATGTATTTTATATTTTTTATTTAAAAACATTTTATTATTATGGTTATTTTATGACATTTTCTTAGATCATCAAGCAACGACGATTTTGTAGGTGAGGGCTAAAATCGAACTCAAGTTATTTGCGTACTGTCATATTTTAAGTGCCGTGGTAGAAATTGCTATACATTTTAATAAAACTAGTTTTTACAAATTTTATCGCATAAGCTTGTTTTAAATTCTTAATGTTTCGAGCATTTTACAGCAGATATGATAAAGGGAGGAGGGGTCTGAGGTGTTCGACGTCCCAATGTCATAGTTAACCACGGCTACCTCCAGATTAAAATATTTTTTTTTGTTTAGTGTTCGCATAAATATTAGAAATCATTGAGCAAATTGCTATAGTAAATATAAACAGGTATAAAAGTTAGGTATGCAAAATCGAATTCGAGACTAATAATAATAATAATAATACTTACAAGTCTAACCCCACGTCCGAGCTTAACACCTACGCTCACGTGAGTGGCGGACACCCGCAACGAAGGTACTTTGTGAGTGACCAACGGGGCTCTAGCACACCCATCAATATGGAGTTGCGAAATAGAAGTATTAGTAAAGGACCGCTTCCCGATGGCAATCGTCAGGGCACGCCTGGAGCCGGTGCTGGGCGTTTCAGTATGCGAACCACCGGTGGCGAGGGTTTACCTGGACGGCCCTCTGCCGGGTCTCCCGAACAATGCGAGTACAGCGCATCATCAGCACTAACATCGTCTGATGAATACAAGTGCGATAGTAAAGCAGTCTCTCCGGCCTCGGATGTTTCACGGGCGGCAAGGGCCACTCAGCCTGTGACCACCAAAGCTGGCAAGCCTAGAGTGCGCATGAAATCGGATGAAGAAATAAATACTTTTATTATGCGCACTTACTTTTACATTACCGAATTAGAAACCGATCGCACTATGTACGTTAAGAAATTATTTGACCAATTTCAATTAAAATATCCTCATATAAATGTCACATCTCAACGTATTGCAGACCAGAGACGAGTAATAATAAGAAATAAATTGTTATCTGATGAACAAATCAAAAGTATAAAGCAACAAGCAGCTAAAATAATTGAAAACGAGAAAGCTGAGAATAATATTTCGGACTCACGTTCAGGTACAAGAGACACCAACCATATGACGGCGGGTAATTCAAATCTCGACCTTTTTAGCCGTCGTCAGTCATCTCCGCCCTCTTCCTTATTCGAAAATCAATCAATTACCTTAAGATCCGATTCTGAAACACAAACTCTATCAATGAGCTGCACGGCTCAAACTAGTATTTTAAGTGTTTCACACCCAGCTGAAATAAATCTCCCAGATGATGGTTTAGTACAGAAGTTAACCAACAAACTGAAGACTATATATCTAGCATTGTATACCGGTACGGACCCCAACATAAGACCCAAACAGCCGCGATTGAAAGAAAATAAGCAGCTATATAGTTTACTTAACATTTTTAATAGTCTTATATTACCCAAATTCTATAGTATTGATTCTGAGATACTACATATTCATACCCTCATATATTGTTCAGCTTTAGTAATTTTGAAACTATTAGGATATAAAATTTCAAACGGCCCCTTAAAAAAGCGAAATTCATTTAATTGCAAACAAAAGTAAATCAAAAATAATTGCGCAATAAACGCGAGCATGAGATAAAAAAGACGAAACAACAGACCTAGGATATGCAAAGCTAGTCACTTTTCCTTTAGTAGCTGGTGTACTTGCTCTTCGGCTCTAACCAAGATAATAGGAGAAAGTTAATTTTTTCGCACGTATATTGGTTGCGCGGAAAACCATTCGCGTTTTTTATTTTGACGGTAGGAACTTGTAGAATCATTATTTCCTTTCCAAACAATATCATCCGTACCCTCCTATCGACACATCGGGGTGGTGGGGTGGGAGGGGAAAGAAGACGATTCTAGAACATCGCGTAATCACCCGAGCCGAGGATATATAAGACACGCGCGACCGATGCGCGAGCCTCTTCTCCCGCCGCAGTCGTCGTTGAACTACAACCTCCTCTTCCCGCGCGCTCGTTTGGAAACACCTCACTAGTGGAAACCGCTTTGGCCTGGAAGCAGTCGAGCTCCAGGAACCCGCCTCACCTCGTGTGAGATATCGTCGCGCACCGCCTCTCTCCGGAGTGTTCCAGAAGTCGCTATAGTGATCGACAGGAAGAAGAAACCCCGGTGAGTCAATATTCCTTAATTATACCTGCTTGCTAATAATTTAACCCGCTCCAATCTGTGTTTTTTTTCCTAGTCAAGCAGGATTCCTTTCATCGATTCGACAAGTAATAGTTTAGTTTAGGGAAGAGCGAGTGCATTGTACCGCATGCTATAGTAGTCGCCTTATGTAAGCGTAGAAGCAATCGCATATACAGTCCACTTTAGTTAATATCTCGCGTAATAGGTTTGAGGTTTGACCGGGGAACTAGATTTTCGGCAGCCTTAAACACGTGGCTCCACCATTTTATGGTCCTTCGAGCAGGATCTGGATTGGTGTTTAGTGGTTATCCAACCATTTTCTGGTCGAATTATTAAATTAATTGTTTAGATAACGCACTCTAATTTATAGAATAGACTTAAATAGTGTTCGTTTAAATTAAAATTTTGATTTGTTACTCGCAAACAGAATTATTCATTTAATAGCGCTCGTATTTGGTTAAATTTAAAGCTTATTAAATAATTGAAACGGCGTGATAGCAACCGTTTGATACGCTTACCCCACAATTTTATAAAA